GAGGTGCAAAAAGAGGCACCAACAATCCACATCAGGTTCTCCTGCCTGACTATACCCAGAATCTGTCCTAAAGAGAAGGCTCCGGGTAGAACAGTCCTTCTCTGTGTCTCCCAGTCTCTCAATGTTTCTCATTCTCCCTATTTTGTATTCTCTCTGCCCTAAGTTCCTGGCCCTCTGTGACCCCCATTCAGTCTGCTTTCTACATCCCCGTGTCTTCTCTTATCTCTGACCCCAATATCTATCCTGATCTCTCTGTGTCCCACCTCTCTGTCCTCTCTCACTTCTCTTCTCTCTCTGTATCCATCTGTCCCCCATATGCGTCCCTCTGTGTCTTCCACATCTCTAAATTTCCCATCCCTCTCTCTATTTCTCTGTAGCTCCCAGCTTTTACTGCATCACCTTGGCTCTCTGTGTCACCCCATCTTTCTCTACCCCTTCCTTCTGTGTCTCTCTCATCTCTCTCTGTCATCCCATCTCTTTCTGGGTACCCTCCCATATTTCTCTCTTTTGTTTTCTGTTCCCCCAGCTCTCTCTGTATGTCACCTATTTCTGTCTGTCCTTTCTTCCCTTCTCTGTCCCCCTGACTCTCTATCCCCCTACTCACAACCTCATCTCTCTGGGAAGACATAGGGGGACAGAAGAGCTATGTTCAAGTTTTGAAAAGCTGTCATGAGGAAAACGGAAAAGATTTGTTCTGCCTGATCCCAGAGGATCAGGGGAGGTCAAAAAGAGTCTGATTTGGGGGCAGCTAGATGATGCAGTGGATAGAGCACCAGCCCTGGAGTCAGGAGGACCTGAGTGCAAATCTAGCCTCAGACACTTCCTAGCTGTGTGACCCTGGGCAAGTCACTTAATCCCAACTGCCTTTAAAAAAACAAAAGTCTGATTTGATCCCAGGGCAAACCTGGTATCCATCAGAGCTGTCTCGAGGTGGCACGGGCTGTGCTTCTAAATGTAGTCAGTTCTTCCCGACAGGAGGTCTGGTAAGCCAACGCTGAGTGAGCAAGATGGATGTAAGTGTGCTGCAGTGGGGACACTTTGAACCAGATGGACCCTGAGGCCCCTTCAAACTCTGAACCACTGTGGTTCTCTGTCCTTGGGGGCAAGGCGCCACAACCAGGTGTTAGGTGCAGAAAGGTAAATATGAAACAGTCCTCTTCCTCAAGGAGTTTAATCAGAGGCACATAACACGTGGGCAGATAAGAAAAACAAAATACAGACAAAGGGAAAAACGGGGTTCAAGCTCTACCTCTGACACAGACAACTTTCCAAGACTCAGAGTTACAGATGAGCAGCTGATCTGCATCGATGGAGGGAATTCCCACACTAACCGAATCGCAAGGCTGGGCCTCAGCAGCAAATGCAAAGTACTTTTGGTGGGGCAGAGATGGAGCACTAACATGTAAGAGGCGTCCTTGAACCAAGCCTGGGAGTGAGCTAGGGATTCCAAGAAGCAGGTGAGGAGGAAGGGCATTCCAGACATGGATGACCTGTACAAAGGCAAAGGGGGAAAGGCAGTATAGATTTGTTCCCATTTAATAAATGAGAAAATCGAGATTCAGGTCTACCTACACATTTCATGATATCAGAGACAAGACTTAAAGCTGGGTCTTCCTGGGCTCTGTCTACCTACCACACTGACAGTCCCCAAGCCAATGAAAAGACAGAACCACCAAAGTCCACAGAAAAACCATCTACATTGGGTGTGTTTACTTGGTAATAACAAAAATCAGGAAATTAGTGCTTTGGAGGTTAGTTCATGGCTTTCTTTCAGAACGTCCCATAATCCATTCTGTATGGGGGGGGGTGATTTGTTTGAAATAAGCCTTTCAATGAACTGTTGATGGAGATGTGAAATGGCTGGACCATTCTGGAAACCAATTGGGAATTAAACCAAAAAAGTCTCTAAACTATACAAACCTTTTTACTCAATGACAGCATCAGTGCGTATAGACCCAAAAGAGGTCAAAGACAGAAAGAAAGATCTCGCATACACAACAATACTGTCGGCAGCACTTTTTGCAGTAGCAAAGAACTAGGGAATGGCTGACCAAATTGTGGTATGTGGTATGTGAATATGAAATATGAAGAATCTGGAGAATCTGTGAAAGACTTGTATATGCTGATGCAAAACAAAGTAGGCAGAACCAGGAAAACAACCGCTATGACAAGGAAGCGAGTGACATGAAAAGAGAAAAAAATCATCAAAATAACAAACTAAAAGTCTTCCAACTACAAATGAAGGAATGTATTCTTTTTTAAAAGTTTTTTCAAATTACATGCAAAAACAACTTTTCACATTCATTTTTTTAAAATTTTGAGTTTTAAATTCTCTCCCTCCCTCCCCCTCCTTGAGAAGGCAAGCAATTGGATATAGATGTAGATGTGCAATCATGCAAAACATATTTCCACAGTATTCACACTGTGAAAGAAAACAGACAAAAAAAGGAAGGAAGGAAGGAAGGAAGGAAGGAAGGAAGGAAGGAAGGAAGGAAGGAAGGAAGGAAGGGAGGGAGGGAGGGAGGGAGGGAGGGAGGGAGGGAGGGGGAGGGAGGGAGGGAGGGAGGAAGGAAGACCCAAGAAAGTTGAAGAAGCATGCTTTCATCTGCATTCAGATCCATCGGTTCTTTGTCAGGAGGTGGCTAGCACCTTTCATCACTAATCCTTCGGAACTGTCCTGAACCATTAGATAGCTGGAATAGCTAAGTCATTCACAGTTGATTATCCTCACAGTATGGCTGTTACGGTGCACAATGTTCTCCTGGTTCTGCTCATTTCACTCAGCATCAGTTCACATGAGTCTTTCCAGGTTTTTCTGAAGTCTACCTGCTCATCATTTCTTATGGCACAATAGTATTCCATTACATTCACATACCACAACTTGTTCAGCCATTCCCTAATTGATGGGCATCCCCTCAATTTCCAATTCTTTGCCTCCACAAAAAGAGCTGCTATAAATACTTTTGTACATAGAGGTCTTTTTCCTTTTTCTTTTTTAATGGTCTCTTTGGGATATAGATCCAGCAGTGCTACTGCTGGATCAAAGCGTGTGTATGCACAATTTTACAGCCCTTTAGGCATAGTTCCAAATTGTTCTCCAGAAAGGCTGGATCAGTTCACAACACACAACTCCACCAACACTGCATTAGTATCCCAATTTTTCCAAATTCAAATAGGTACACTCTTTAAAATCTTTGGCTCTAGCTTTGTGCTCCCAAAGAGAGGGCATTCTTATTGAGACAAATATTGACAACATGGACTACATAAGCAGCCCTCTATCAAATATGTTACCTAAGTAAGAAATCTAAAGGCAGGCCACAAATGGCCAAATGATATCCATTCTATACTAAAAATGAGGTGACAATGTGTTCCTTATTGCCCAAGCCCACACCAATTCAGGTCCATGAGCTTCCCATGAACCTCCCATGGCCACATGAATTCTCCTCTCCTTCATACCTCCACCCTGTGGGCCCCATGCCTAGAGTTCTGTCCTTCTTCACTCTGCCTCTTAAAATATGTGGCTTCCTTGAGACTTGGCTCACATGCCACTTGTGACATACAAGAGGCATTTCCCAGGCCCCCCAAATGCTGGTAGTAGCACCGCCTTCTCTGAGATTGCCTTCTATCCACCCTCTGTGCATCCTGCATGGACCTAGTTACATACATGTTGTCTCTCCCATTAGAATATAAGCTCCTTGGAGGCAGGGGTTGTTTCTGCTTCTCCTTTGTATACCCATCCTAATAAATGAATGTTGATTAACTGATCGACTGGTTCTACCTCCCTGGAAATTGGTTGTTTGGAAGGACAAAAAACTAAGGGGACAAAGGCCAGCAATTCCAAATGTGTCACTGGAACACCACGCGAGCTGCTCAGAAGCCTGCCCTGCCAGAAGGTGCCTCAGCCTCACCTCGGCTTATCAACATAGTTTTAAACTATTAATCAGGGGTTTTCAGATAGCCAGGAAAATAAGCCATATTTCTTCTGGTGAACTCAGTACTTTAAAGAATAAGGTTAGTTTCCCAGCTCTATCAAGAACAATGACAACCCATGGCTTGGGGAAGAATCTAAAAGAACATCTGACACAAGTCAGGTCTGCAGCCCAGTGCCAACCACATGCTATCACAAGGGCCAAGGACACACACTCCATCACCCTGTCTGTCTGCTTCCCGACACGTGCCAAGCAGGGGACTCTTTACACCCCAGGCCACTTCCCTTTGCCTCTGCATTATCTGCTGTCACTAAGGTCTCCCTAGCTGCTTCCTGTGAGCCCCACAAGCTCCCAGGATCTCAAAAAAAGGCAACCCTATGCAATGACTATTAAACAGGATACGCCTGCTTTAACCGGCCTCCATGTATCCTCTGGGATAGCTCTATGCTACGCCACAAGGAGAGAGATCACTGAGTGCTGAGAAAACATGTCATTTGTGGCCACTTCTAAAAGAAACTGGTCGAAAGGTTCTGGAACAGTAGTATGAAACTTCATAATTCGGTTCCTTTGGAAAAGTCTAAATTCAATGGACATACTTCCATTTCAAGCACGATTTTCAGGAACTTAATGTTTGAGGCCTGCTGGCACAATTCAAAGACAAAGTCAAACTCACAAAATGGACTAAACAACATGAATAGGGTAAGTCGCCCTACTTCCTCCTTCGGAAGCACTTCAGGGCCTACGAAGCGCTCTCCTCCCGGCAGTCCCGTGAGCTCAGGAGAACAAGTGTGAGGAAGCTGGGGCTCAGGACAGTGAAGTGACCCCATGCCAGGGTGTCCCAGCTGGCAGCCCTCCAAACCGAATCCTCTAATGCTGCGCCACTACCCTCTGCTGCCTCTCAAAGACGGCCAGCCCCACGCAGGCCAAAAGACACCCAACCAGTTTTAGTCCTCCAAAATGTCACTGGTTCAGGCAGCAGACTGCCATGTGCCTGACACGCCAGGGGGCTGGCCTAGGGAGCTACGTACAAGGAAGCAGCGAAGCATGGAAGGCCGAGGGAACTTCTCATACCTTCCGGAGAAACTTCTTGTTTCAAAGATGAAATCCTGTCCTCAGGCAAAGGAACATTTGGGTGATTTTGTGAGAATATTCACTCAGGGAAAGATTTCTCTCCAGTCTCCTTGCCTAAAAAACAAAAGGGAAAAAAATTAAGTTTGGCATAAGCAATTTTTAACTAACAAAATACACCCCGTACCCGAAACTTTAAAGAACAGGGGAATGACCACTTCTAAGGACACTAGGGACAGACTGCTGGACTATTGTTCAACTCCACTCTGGGACAGAAGAGGGCTTCTCTCTGGCTGCAAGATCTTCAAGTGAAGAAAGGATGACCACTTCATAAAACCATAGGATTTCAGAGGTAGAAAGAACATTAGAGACCATTTAGGTCAACTGGTACTAAAAAGGCATCAATGAGGTTTTTAACAAGTGGCCATCCAGCTATAGCTGCAAGAACTCAAGTGAAAGAGGGAAGAGGAGGGGCAGGGGGAGAGACAGAGACAGAGATGGAAACAGACACAGAGACAGAGAGAGATGAGAGGGAAGTGAGAGACAGAGACAGAGACATGAGAGGGAAGAGAGAGAGAGACAGAGACAGACAGAGAGAGATGAGAGGGAAGTGAGAAACAGAGACAGAGACATGAGAGGGGAGAGAGAGACAGAGAGACTAAGACAAAGAGACAGAGACAGAGACAGAGAGACAGAGACTGAGACAAAGAGACAGAGACAGAGAGAGATGAGAGGGAAGTGAGAGAGACAGAGAGACTAAGACAAAGAGACAGAGACAGAGAGCCAGAGAAAGAGAGAAAGAAAGAGAGAGAAAGAGAGAGAGAGCGCCAACATTTCTCTAATGCTTTCAGATTTATAAAGTGTATATTATCTCATTTGAGACACCTTCCCCAAGACTGACTATTCCATATTTCCACTCTAATTGTTAGGCAGCAGTCTGTCCCTGTATCAAGCCTAAATCTGCCTTGATGTGTCTCCCACTTACTGCTCCTACTGTGTGCCCTGGGACCAGGAAGATGAACCAAATCCCTCTTACATATAACAACAGCCCTTGAAGACAGCTGCCATATCTCCCCCCTTCTCTTCTCCAGTCCTATCATCACTCGTTCCTTCGGCTGGAAGGAACGATACAGCGTGAACACAAGGTCCCCTTCCCTGGACACTTAGGCACCACAAATTAAACACAAAACTCCAGGTGTAGCCTAACCCCACAGAAGACAGTGGGATGTTGCTTCCCCCTTTCTCACCGGGCTGCATCCCCACCTTGCGATTGTCTGCCTGACTTCTCCCCCAGTTCTAGGAAGCTCCTTATTGGCATAACCTCAGCACCCTGTCAGATCTTATCAGCTTTGGCACTCTGCCTCATCACCACCCTCTGCCCCTGGGACTGGAGGGTGGAACCATGAACTCAGTCCCCATTTAAGGAGAGATCTCAGCTTGGACAGCTCACTTCTCTCCTGGCTGCACTGCTCTGAGGCTTCTCTGGCTGACTTCACCACTAGCCCCTTGCCCCCTTTTCAGCCTTCTTTTGTGGGTCTTCTTCCCCCATCAGACCGTAAGCTCCTTGCAAGCAGAGACTGTCTTTTTACGTATCCGTATCCAAGGCACTTAGCACAGTGCCTGGCACATAGTAGATGCATAGTAACTGTTTACGAACTATTGACTATCACCTCCCTTTTTCCTCAGCACTCAGTTTCTCTTAGGGCAGCCCAAGATCCCACCACACTGTCTCAGACTGAGCTTGCAGGCCACTGCCTAGCTCTTTTTTTTTTTTCAGAAGCACTGCTCTCTAGTCATGCCTCCTTCAACTTTTACTCGTGAAACTAACGCTTTTACCCCCAGTGCTTTGTTTTGTATCTGTTCTTATTCAATTCTAGATGTTAAATTCAGTCCAGTGTTCTCACCTGTCAAGGTGAGACTGTGGACCCTGACTCAGTTATCCAGCCGGTCAGCTCTCCCTCCCAGCTTCCCTCCAGATCTTTGTCCAAATCATCAAGATGTTAAACAGCAGCCTGGGGCCCAGGATAGAGCCTTGGCAAATGCCCAATGGAGCAGCCCACTCTTCCACAGAGACAAAGAGCCACAAATGCTTGTGCTTAGAGGTCCAGTCACTGGACCTGCTTTAAATCTCCTGGACCCTAACCAAACTGGACTCTTTCTCTCTCCCTCTCTCCCATTCCTTGTGCAGGCGGAGGGCAGGAGCCTTGAGGAATGCTTTGATTAGCTAGCTCTGCTATCAGCAGGGTTGCCTTGTGGGGTCAGTCCTATTTAGGATGAGGCCACACAGGCTGTGAGGAGCACTTTATGATTTACTCCTTCCTTCAGTAAGACATCTTAGAACCTGGCAAGGAATTAAAGTCTAACTTACTGGCCTATTCTATTCACTTTATTTTTCAGAAGAGCAGAGCATTTGCTCTTCCCCAGTCCTGCGGCACGTCCCTCACTCGCCACCATCTAGCAAAGGTCCCTGAAGGTAGCCCGACCACTATCAGGCAGGCGGTAGAGGGGATTTTTATGGACTTACAGGTTGGACTACATGGCCTCTCAGCTCCCTTCAAACTCTGAGATTCTGTGATTCTATGAGTCAAAAATACAGATCACCTGAAGGGCAAGAGAAAAGGGCATGGCATGTATGAGGCTGCATCATGTTACATACGATTACATAAAAGACGCTATCAGCCAGGATGTGGTGGCAGGTTGGTTAGGCCCGGTCCACTCCCCACGGAGGCAGAGACAATCACCATGACTGAAAAGCCCAACGGATGAAACCCTTGACTCAGAAGAAATTCTACCAATCAACATCTCTCCTCCTCTGGGATCTCTTCCCAACCAGTGTAATATCAGGTCACCCCCTCCCCTCTTCCCCATCCAAAACTGGACTCTGCGCCTGGAACCACCCTGGGCTTTGCTAGGCCAGCTTTGGCCTGACTTATCTGGCTGGGATCCAGGCCTCCACAGCACATCCAGGCCTCTCTGTGCTCATCCCCTTTATGTGCTGTCTTCTTCCCCGCTAGCATGGAAGCTCCATGAGGGCAGGAGGGGCACTATTTGCTTATATTTGTGTTCCCCAGCACCTGGCACAATGCCTGGCACATGACAAGTGCTTAATAACTGCCCTCTACTTACCTCCCCACACACCTATTGTGGTAGGACCTCCTAACCACCTTTTGTCTACCTCAGGCTAAGAACCCTACAGACCGCCTACTCCTACCGCCACCCCACCCCATCCCCTGCCCCAGGCAGCACAGACCTGGCAGGGAGGGCTGGTCAGTGCTGGGCTTTTCCTGGCCATGCACTCTCAACCCTTCCCAGGCTTCACATGAATGGGGCACATATACCCACATATCTTCTGTCTACTAAATGGGTGGGCATTACATACGCCATAATAATTCAACTCAATGTGACCTTCATCTGTGCCTCATAATCACAGACCTGGCCAACTGAGGCAGGAGGCCAGTCAAGCTACAGGCAGGCGCAAGTCACAAAGACACAAAAGAGCCAAGAGGCAGAATGTCTTATTTGTGGGACGGCCAGGCCAACGACATCGGGCAGAAGGGTATGCAGTAGGGAGGGAGGTGTGAGAAGACTGGAAAGGCAGGAGGAAGGGAGGCTAAAAAGGGCTTTGAATGCCAAACAGAGCACTTTATATTTGATCCCAGAAGCCACTGGAGTGCACTGGGGGGAGGGTGACGCTATCAGGCCTATACTTAAGGAAAATCACTGTCCTGGATGAATGGAGAATGGACTAGAGTGGGGAAAACCTTGGGGCAGGCAGACCCTCCACTGGACCCTCACAACAACCCTAGGAAGTAGGTCGTACTATTATCGCCATTTACAGACGAGGAAACTGAGGCAAACAGAGGTCAGGTGACTGGCCCAGGGCTGGATCGGAACTCAGGTGATCTTGGCTTGAGGCCCAGCACTGTGCACTGCAGCGCCCCCGAGCTGTCCTCAGAAGCTGCCCCAGAAAGAAAAGTATGCGTTTAAGGCCTTCGCCCACAGAAATCAGCACTTGCAAAGGCAGCTCTTTAAGCCCTGTTCAGACAGGGTTCTAACAGTTCAATTCCATCCGCTCTTTCAAATATCTACTAAACGACTACAAAGTACAAGGCAGCCTGGCACAGTGGACAGAGTGAGGAAGACACGGGTTCAAATCCTGCCTCTGACATTAGGCTAAGCTCAGGGACTGTCTTTTGCCTCTTTTTGTATCCCCAGAGCTTAGTACAGGGCTTGGCACTTAGTAGGTGCTTCACTGGTGTTTACTGTGGCATGAGAACTGTCTGGAGACTGAGCCACCCAAAGTCTGGGAGAAGAGCCAGGCCAGGATCGGCCAGAAGTCAACCAGGGAGAGCAGAGTTGCCCGCCGGCGGGAGGCAGAGGCAAACTCGACTGCCCTGGGCTCTGCACAAACTGCCAGGCAGAACCAACGCTCTAGGCCTGAACTCCCTCCCCAGGGCCTGAGGTGACACCCCAAAGAGGGACCCCTCTCCAAAGAGGGGAACATGCTTGCACTTCTAATTATCTTCGGAGTAAATATTCCTCTGTAAAAGCTAGCTGATGTTAATGGCTTAAAATGAAACTGGGAGGTTACTCACTAGTGGCGAAGAGTGAGGGAAGGGAACAAGCAGGAATGGGGGCTTGAGGCAGTGGCATCAGAGCAAGCCCCTCAGGGGTGCCCGGGGGCCCTGATGGCATGACTAGGAAAGTGAATCCAGAGTCACAGCCAAATCTGTTCGGCTCCCAAATGTCCTCTCTGCCAACCTTATCTCTTATTTCTCCTCTGACCAATGGAAGACACAGAAAGACTACAGCTACTCAGAGGCAGACCCTGCATTTGGAAGGCTTATTCCACTTACTGTCCATTCGGGTTTGTGCTTGAAGCTGCTACCGAAGCACATGGCCATGATTCCAGCTCTTGAGATGAAGTCAATCCCAAAAAAGGTCAAGCTGAGGTGGAGGCAGAGTCAGTGCAAGAGAAAGGGGCTGACATTTCAGTAACGTTCAGATCCTACCGCCAACTTTTCTTTTTGAACTTGGAGAGGCTCGGCAAAGGAAAAAGCCTCTAAAGGGGGGTGTAGGGAGACTACAGCAGAAAATGTAATTTTCTAATAGTTCAAAATGAGAAATGAAGTGAATGGCTGGCAAACAAACTTTTAAAAATACAATCACGCATCCCAAACTGCTCCATCAGTAATATAGACCACACCTGCCAATAACGTCTCATCTGACAATATAAAACACAGCCTGACACCCCAGTATCTGAGTGGCATTTTACATTTCTAGTAGTATTATTATTCACCTACATCATTTGTGCCCATTCTAAATGAATGAATGACAGAAACACACATTTATTAAGCCCTTATTATGTACCAGGGATATAAATACAAGCAGAAAGAAACCCAATTCTTGCTCTCAAGAAGGCAACGCTCTCATTCTAATGGAGGAAGGCATGATTTCAAAGTCCACGAGGTCAGGAACAAGGCCAGGAGAAGGACAAAGGCAGGCTGCCCTGAGTCCCTTCACAAAATGGCAGACCCAGCAGAAACTCACCAGCGGGGCTGGAGCCACAGTTATCCAGGGGCTTGGCCAGTGGGGCAAGGAGGGCAAGTAGCACCAACTGCTCTTGGATTATATGTCATTGGCTGGGGCAGGGGACGGGATCCCTCCCTTCTGGGGAGCACCAGAGCCACAGGCCCAAAGCTGCCCACTCGGGAAGGAAGGAGCAGGACGCCATCTGCGGCAACTGGACTTTGAGCATCTGGGGAGCAAGGGCTCCCTGTGCTTTGCCTTTATATCCTCAGAGCTGACACAAGGCTCGGCACACAGCAGGCATTTAATAAATGCTGTCCGACTTGCCTTGTTGACTAGTCAAGCATTCTGAATGAACGGTGGATTTGGAAATGGTTCAGAGGAGCCACAAAGCTGGTAAGAGCTTACGTTTATATCATACTTGAAGGTTTGCAAAGCACTTTCTTCTCAACAATCTGGTGAACCATCGCTGGTCCCCAGTTAAGAAAGCTAAGGTTCTGCCCAACAACCTGGTCAGTCTGGGTCAGAGCTGAGGTTCACACTCAGTTCCTTTGACTCTTTCTGCTCTGCCAGGATTTCTCTCAGCCAATCTTTCAACAGTTCAAGCAGCTCTGGAATGCACATGGAGTCTCCTCCCCTGGGGTCTAAAATGGGAAATGTTATCCATTTATTTAAGAGAATTGTACATGACCCTGCCTGAAAAATGAGGCAAATGGTTTCTTGGGATCCTACAAAAGTAACTGTCCCTGACGAATGTTGTCATTTATCTCATCAAACTGTATGTGCAAAATGAATCTGGCCTGGAAGGACTTGCAGGGACCGACGCTGAGTGAAGTGAGCAGAACCAAGAGAGCACTGTACACGATAACAGCCACGTTGTGCACTGACTGACTTTGATGTGATTTGGCCCTTCTCACCAATGCAAGATCTAAGACACCTCCAAAGGCCTCCAGATGGCAAACGCTCTCCACATCCAGAGAAGGAAGGAACTATGGAGACTGAATGCACATGGAAGCGGACTGTTTGCTCTTTTTTCCCTTCTGTTTTGTTCCCTCTCTCTGGTGGTTCCTCCTATTGGTTCTAATTCTTCCTTACAACATCACTAATGTGAAAATGTGTTTAACAGGAATGTATACATAGAGCTTATATCAGATCGCATGCCGTCTTGGGGAGGGAGGCAGGAAAGGAGGGGGAGAAAAATTTAAAACTCAAAAGCTTCTGGAAGTGATTGTTGATAAATCAAAATAAAGTAATAAAAAAATGAATTTGAGACAAAGAAAGCACACAGACTAAAGTGCTAAGAAGGCAGTGCACACCCGAGGACCAATAGGACACAGCCAACAGGTGCAATGCCTGACATGCTGGGCAAATGCCTTTCATAAGAGAAACACCAAAGCCCAAAACATGGCCCATAGGCCTGTCAGGGCACTTTTCTAGTCTCATCCTGTCATCGCTCCATGACAAGCGAGGAAGACCCTCGCTCTGGGAGAGACTGTGGCTGCTCGCTTCCGCATCATCCGAATCCCAATCTATCTCTGACTCGTCAGGACCCTGGCTGCAAGGGTTGCCCTCCTGTCTGCCTCCAGGAACGCCCAGCTTCCTTCAAGCACCACTCCCAGAGGAAGCCCACCTGGACCACCCTAGTGCCAGGGCCCACCTCCTCCGGTCACTTTGTAGATTCTGCGTATTTAACTTTCCTGTGCAGATTGCTCCCCCCGGCCTCCCCACTCAGTAGGAGCTCCTTGTGGACAGGAACTGTTTTGTTTTTCATCCACTGTGCTAAGCAGTGTCTGCCACACAGTAGGCCCTTAATAAGTGCTTGCTGGATTGCAGAACTAAAAAGGCAAAAAACGAAATCCAGATCTCCTTCCTCTGTGGTCACAAGGTCACGCTCTGCCCAAATCTAATCAATTTTAAAACAGTCAACCAAGGCTCATAACAAGGGGACCAAACTGTCCCCAAAGGGCTCAAAGGCCCCCAGCTTGCACACCAAGGGAAGATCAGCCAGAGAGGCTGCATTTATCTGGTCACGAACGGCAGGCAGGCCCGCACGGAAAATGTGTTTGCTCTCC